ACTGCTTAAACATGCAAAATTGGGAATTCCCTTCGTTCCCTTCTTTGAAGAAGCCCAAGCTAGGCAAACCTGCCAGGCATGCTAATGCTTCCTGACAAACTGCTTCAAAACATGAGTTTCACGTGAGGACAGCAACAGTGCAGCAGAAACCCTTCCCAGAGAGACAGAAGTACACCTTGGTCTTGTTCAAGTCAACCTCCACCTTCACGTTGTGCTTCCCTGCATGGGTCTGTATCACCTGTCCTTCAGGAGGATGCTGTGCCAGGTGGTGAATATCTCATGCACCACTTATGAGAAATTCCAGCTGATATTTAGGACAGGCTTCTGTGGCATGTCAGCCAGCTTCTGAGAGGAGCAAGCCAGGAGGCAGGTGCCTGTTCAGATACATCCCTGGTGTTTCCAGCTGGCTGACTCTCAGCAGCTCCTCACTGGGCACACGAGGGAACACCTAACTGCCCTTCCCAGACACCCTCTTTCCTTGGACCCTACATGTACAATATGGGTTCTGAGTTAGAAATTCAATGCTCCTGACTCCTTCTGATTCTGCTGAATGCCTCAATGCTTAAAATAGGTTTTGCAGGTCATGCTTCTGGGTGGGATGGCTACAGGTTCACTTGTGACATGTGGGTAAGGCTTTTATTAAACGTGGCCTCAAGTGAACTTCCCATAACTCAGGTTTTGCAGGTGCAAAAGACAGGTTACAATCTGGGGAAGTATTCTTGACCTTAATCATTATTTGCAAAGCAGTGTGTGAGGCACTGCCTGTTGTTACTAAGAGATATGATGCATGTTAGAAGGGGATCATTTGGCTATCGGGCTGTGCAATCTGGCTTTATTTTCCAACAACACTAAATACTTGCTGCTTCTGTCCAGACCTTGCCTGTAGTTTTCTGGAGTTGTCTTTGAGTCAGGAGCTTTCTTGCAAGAAAAAAAAAAGTATGCATCAGGGTCCTGGTTTGCTCTCTGCACAGCTTTGACTGTGCAGCTGGCTGCCAAGCATCACACAGCAAGGCAGAGCAATGCTTGTGAATCACCATGGAACAACATCAGACGAGCCAAACAGACCCATGTGATTTTAGGCAGGGCTCAAGAATTTTGTTCCTTTAGCTTCAACCCAGGGGGCAAATTTGTTCATTTTCCTGGCACTGCAACAATGATAAAGTCTCTGCACCCATTTGCCCTGAACCGGTGTGGTTTGTTTTCTGAAACACATGCTGTTCCCATTTTGTGTGATAATAACAGTTACAGGATAGGTGGAGATTTTGTGGGACCAATTCTCAGGTACATTAAGCTGCTTTCACCCCCTCCTGAGTATATAAAATATCCTTAAAGCAAGTGTAAATGGTATTGACTCCAGAATCAGACAATCGGTTTCCAACTCTGAAGGCAGTATGTGTTGCAAACCTGTGAGGAGATGAATAACTGAATTGTTGTCTCTCCCTCTGAGACAGGTGCTTAGGACAAAGTGCTGATGTTTGTTGGCCACAATGGATGTTGGAGGAAAATTTTAGGAAGGTCGAAGCACCTGTGTCTGGAGACATTGAATGCTCCAGTGGTTCATGCACTTGACACATGCAGGTTCCTGAGTCTTATCTGGTGGCTAGCCACTAGGCTTGGACTAAAATCACAGAGTCATGAAAACACGGGGTTAGGGAAGACCTCGAGTTTCATTGAGTACAACCATTCACTCAACACCACTGTGTTCAACACTTATCCATGCCCCTTAGTACCACATCTACACACTTTCTGAATACTTCCAGGGACTGGCAGTTCCACCAGTTCCCTCAGCAGCCTGTTCTGATACTCAAGCACAAATCTTGTGAGCAAGGTGTGTAAGAGCATAGGTGGCAAAGTTCCAGAGCCTGAAATGTTCATTACTACAGAACTCACTGCTACATAAAAACGACTAGAGCTTCCTTGACCTTTGATTCTTTCTCTTCGTGGCAGAGATCACATAGTGTGAATCAGCTCAGAGATGAAGTGAAAGCACACAGCAACCAGCAAAAGAAAATTTGACCTAGGGAGGAAGGAAGGTATTTTTTATGAAATACAGGAATGCAGGCAAAGATATGAGGAAAACCATCTACTAAAGAGAAGCAAGATTGTGAAGTGGACATAAAACCTCCTACCTTGCCTTTTCATGACTACTGGACAGCTTTCAGTTATTTCAGAAAAGCACAGCTTGATGCAAGCAAGCACCCTAAATTATATCCCTGTCTCAGTGGCTTCTTGGGACCTAATATGCCCCACAGGACCACTATGGACCTGAGGAGGAGACCAAGTGCAGCTGGAAGAGCAAGGAAGCTGTGACCTCCCCCAGTCCAACATCTATGAAATGAGGAAGGGCATCTTATCCAATTGCAGAGTGGGGGTGCTACCTCAAAGCCATCTGTCAGAGGTTTAATTCCTTCTTGCTTGTGGTACCCTGGGAAATTGAAAAGCTCCACGTGATTTGTGTTAATAAGGAGGAAAGGGTGGAAAAAAACCTTCATGACTTTTCGTTGCATATATTACTTGAGAAAACACATGCTGTTGCAGTGAGACCTCACAGAATGCTAATTCTTAAAGCATATATGCAAAAGTTTGAAACCGGAAGTTTTGTTGACCCTGGAAGAAAATGCAGATTCCAAACAGAAGCTCGGGGAAAAAAATCTGCTGTTCCACCTGTATTTGCTTTAGCTTTACTGATAAATGGATGCAGCTTGCCTGTGTCACGGTTTTGTCCTGCTTATCTTCTGAATTCACATAAACTTTGTTTCTGGGCAATTATAATTTCAAGACCCAGTCACAAGGTCGGCAGCTGAGGAGCAGCATCAGTTCTTCCATCCTCTCTTTCACTGAATTCGTGAGCTTTGGGTCTTGCTTTTGAGCAGAAATTTTGTGATGGAGACCGTAGGGACTAAATGGTTACATGGAAAATGTGAACCTCCACAAGGGTTTGAACTTTGGTCAACAGAAAACAACCTGATGATTTCAATCTGCAAAAGGCCATAAGGACATTCAGATTGAAAACTCTGTATGGGAAAACTTAATATAAAATCTCCACGGCTTTTAAGGGAATTAGTTCTACCTTTGGGCCATGGACTTCTCGAGGGTATCTGTGGGGTTGTTTCCCCTTGGTCCATGCGTGGGTCATTGATTCAGCTGTGCCATGCTGTGGTGCAATACACAGTGACAAGTCATTCCTGTGAGGTTCAAAGGAGAAGTCAGTGCTGGGGCAGGCTGCAGTGTTTGTGGGGAAACACCTGTGATCCATCATTAGTTCTTTTAAGTGTTTAATCTGTTACATCATCATACAGAATCTGGTACTGTAGGATGAGATGGAATTGTTCTGTTTGATTTCAGTTCAGCTTTTTTTGGCCCCTTCAGCGTGAATGTAGGCTCTTCATGGCTGCAGTTTATCAGGAGGTGCTGTAGAAAAGTTCTGGCATGCATTTATTTAAATAACATCTGATACATTCTGGAGGATAAATGGTATGGAGCAGCTACAGTGCTGTTTCCAAAGGGCATCCTTGGCAAGAAAATAGAGGGAGGAAAGAACCGTTACGTGTGCCTGTGTATTGCCCCTAGAACAGGATCAAAGTTAAGAAAAGGAACTCTGGTTTTGTTTCTCCACAGTTGTTAAAGTTCACAGGCTTCCCAGGATCTACATTTCAAGGCTAGCATTAACCAAATTTTATACATTTACATTTGTTCAAAATAGTTTCCAGGCAGTGGGTAATTAGTGGTTAGAAATGGCTTGCAGTTTGGTGATAATTTGATTAAGTGAAATCCTTAGGAAAATGAGCATTCCAGGTCTTTTGTGTTTCCCTGCTTCACCTGTGGACCTCAGCTGCTTTCCCACTCAGTCTCACAGGAAGCATCTCCTCTGTCTCCTGTGTTTCAGTAAGGAATAGATGGATCCTAGTCAGAAATGACAGGAGGATCCCTCCAGCCAGAATGAGCAGCAGGAAAAGACATTAACTCCAAAAAATTGCTACTTTAACATTCTTCCTGGAGAACTTCAAATTTAGTAATTACATCCCTCTCCCCAAGAACTCCATGTACTCTGTTCTTTTGAATTAATTAATCCCTAAGTCTGAAGCATTCTGCAAACAAATGAAGAAGACCCATGCCTGTACATTTCTATGTTGGCCAGTGAGCTAGTGAAGAAAAGGGAGGAAATAAAAACAAAGATGTAAATATTCAAAGTTTACCCAATTATGTATAAATAAAAATAATTTTCTAATGTTGTGCAAGGTGGGATATGGATTTTTTAAAATAAGATGGTGAAGTGATATAACAGTATAATTTGACCAGTCAGTCTTTTTTAATAAAAGGACCATTTTGTGTCCTGCTCCTTCATTCAGAAGTGGGGACAGTGGAAGGGAGAGTTAAGTACTTAGGTTCTTCTATAAAAATCTTTGTTTTACTCATTTACTTCAGGAAATTTTGATTAAAAATATTGATTTAAAAAAGGATGATGTCCTTATGCCTTCCTGTATAAGTGGAGATTTGTCAGATAGTCACTGTCTCATGTATTCCCAGTTGGAGGGGATGGATTTACAAATGTTTGGACCTAGAACCCCAAGTGGATTTACAAACAGTTGCTTGAAGTGGTTTTACAGATCTCATTGTGACAATGACATATTGTTCATGCTTCCAAATCTAGGCTTAGTACCAATGCAGTGCTACCTTGGGTGGCAGAGGGAAAGAAACATCCTCACTTTCCTGGCTCTCTACAGCTCCCTGACAGGAGGTTGGAGCCAGGTGGGGGCCAATCTCTTTTCCCAGGAAACAAGTGGCAGGACAGGATCAGGTTGCCCAGGGCAGTGGTGGGATCACCATCCCTGGAGAGAGATTTAACAAACATGTAGATGTGGCTCTAGGGACATGGTTTAGTGGTGGGCTTGGCAGTGTTGGGTTATTGGTTGGACTTGATGATCTTGGAGGTCTCTTCCAACTTCATGGTTGTATAATTCCTTGCATCCTGGAGAATTTTCCAGCACGTCCATTGATAGCAGAAAAGACTCTATAACTTGTAGGAAATGAGAGTTATAAAGTAGGTATGCATTTATTCAGCGCTGAGGTGCACGGGGATAATTCCTCCCAAAGCATGCATCCCAAAACTTCAAACTACTGCTCTATTCATTCCCTAAAAGCCTAAGATTGCACAATACGCCTAATACATATTCATGTCCTAGCCCCGCCTACCGTCGCTTCGTATTCAAATGAACCAAAAGTCCTCTTGCGCTTGTGTCTCCCCAATTCCGAGGTCATGGAGGGTCTCTGATGAAGGGTTCCAAACTCTTCATCGCACTTGAACTTTTCAACTTTGTCTTCGGAGCATGAAGTTTAGCCATTTGGGCACATTCCAGATCTTGAGATTAGTTCTTGCTGGTTTAGGGTTTTGGATTTATCACTTATCACTGGTAGCCTTGCACCCCTCACCCTGTTTGCAAGTCCTGGCTCCATTTACACAAAGCAGTCTGCCTTTCCTTCCGATTTTTGCAAGCATAGTAAATGTCAGGCATTCCTCATTGCCTTGTTTTATGATGAACTATTCCTTACTTTTCAATTCCCTGTCTCACCATCACTGGCCACCATCTCACATCCTTCTGTTCACAGTCTCACAAAGTAGGCAAACCCAGCTGTTTAGGCAGCTAAGTAAATGCTCAAAAAGGACTAGTGAGACCATTCAGCCCATCTTCCTGGATAACAGCAGCCACAGACTTACCTTGGCTTGAATCCTATGGCAACTACAATAGGCATCCCACCCCTATTTTTCACGTGGTACCATCCTTGGCAGTGGTATTTCCAGCACTACCAGCAGCTGACCTGGGTAAAGCTGTTACTGTCTCTCCCCTTGGCTCTGTTTCCCTTTGAAGCAGCACATGTGACATTAGTGATCCCTCTATCCTTGCTGGGAACCTCCTGAGCTGTGGTAGATTCTCCTAGGGAGTCCATCCAACTTCATTTGCAGGACCTGTGTATGCAGAACACATGAGATCCCTTAGGAAGATTTTCAGTCTAAACCCATTTAAAACTTTATATGGAAAAAGGAAAGTCTGAAAGTCCATGCTCAGCAATATTGTATGCATGAGGCTGGGTTAATTCACCTTGAAAGAGGCCTTTAGGAGGACTTGCACATTCCTGGTGCGTTTGGGACAGGACATGGGTGAGTGCCCAAGAGCAGCAGCAGATAAACAGAAAACATTACAGCAGCCTGGCAAGGGGGTCATGGGATCTGCAGGGCTGGCAGCACTGCCAGAGCAGATTGGTTTGCGCTGCAGCCGCTTTTTCTCACAGATGGGATAAAAATAAGATAGATTAAGTATATCCCAGAAAAAATAGTTATGCAAAGGCTTGAGAAAGCTGCCAATGTCAGCAAAGGGAGGCAGTAATGTAAGCAAACTTCAGAGGAGGGGAGCTGCAGAGCGTCCTGCTGGAGTGAGCAGAGGGGACTGGCTCTGAGTGTTGGCTGAATGTGGGGTGAGGTGTTGGCCGGGTGATTTGGTTGACTTGTGTCTCCTGTGTTTACCAAGGCAAATCCCAATGGAGAGGGAGGTTTTTCTTTTAGCTGATAAATGTGCCTGCCTCTATATTAAAATGTTTTTCCCCCCTTCTTTGGTTCTTTGAGTCAACTTCTTCCTGGTTGAGTCACTCAGGCTGATAGGTAAGTGCTGAAGTCCCTGCTGAAACCTGGAGCTCCCTGTCAGTGCTTTTGGTGTCCTGCTTCTCTGGGGTTAGATATACATTTGGTTTCCATCTTGCACCCAGCTTGCAATCAGGTCCTTGGGAATGGCCAGTTTAGGCAAGGTGAGGAGCTGCTACCTTTAACTAGATGTTGTGTCAGTGAGCAGAAACACCTCAGCTGTCAGAGTTATAGGATGGGCCCCAGTGAGCACAAAGCTCAGTTTGGATGACTGATGGAGCAGAAGAAGATGGAATATCAGGGCTTTGAAGGGCTCAGACAAGCAATAGTTGCTGCTTCTTGGTGGCTCTGTAGTAACTGGCTGTGAGCTTGGTGTCAGGCAATGGCAGATTAATCTGCCTTCATTTAGCCAGTGAATCTGGCTTCTTGTAGATTTCTGATTTCTGCTCTTCTTTTCCTTTTTAGTTTTTTTGGACAGTCACTACAACTGGGTCAAGGCTAATGCTGTAATGGTTCCATACATTAAAGTCTTCAGAGGGGCTGAGGCATAGAAAAACCTCTTACCTGGCACTAAGAAGGAAAGACTTAAAAGTGCATATAAGTATATGAAGGGAGGGTGTCAGAGGATGGAGCCAAGCTCTGCTTGGTGGTGACAAGCAATAGGACAAGAAGCAGAAGCTGATGCCCAGGAAGTTCCACCTGAATGTGAGAAAGAACTTTTCTGTGCAGTAACCAAGCATTGGAACAGACTGTCCAGAGAGGGTGTGAAGTCTCCCTCCCTGGAGATATTCCAGACCCATCTGGACACAGTCCTGTACCGTGTGCTCTGGGATGACCCTGCCTGAGCAGGGAGGCTGGTCCAGATGAATCACTGTGTTCCCTTCCAGCCTGACCCATTCTGTGATTCTGAGAACAAGTCTGAAATGGTGCTTCTCTAATTTGTCAACATTTACTCTGCTCTGGGGAGGTGTAAACAGTGAGGGGCATGACCAGAAGGAACGAAGTCCAGAAGATATCATTCTCCATTAAGGAACAGTTATTTGTTGGCCTCTGGAGTAGTTACTTGAGACAGGTTTTTAAATGCACTTAATTTAGACAAGAAATAATCTCGGTGAAAGGGGGTTGAGAACGTGTAGGGAACATTCTGGGAATAAACATCTGCCTCTTTTTGGTTAACAACCATATTTATTACATTAAAACAAATACCTCTATCTGACCCAGAGAGCTTGTGGAAGGAGGCCAGAAAATAAACTGTGTTGCTACTGATGAGATAATGGATCAGAAAAAAAAAAATTAAAGCAATTGTAGTGCTAAAAAAAATACTCAGTCAAAATCTGTTTCTCATTTCTTTTTACATTCCTCTGAAAATTAAGACAAGTGTAGTTTTTAAGCTCGGCTTCACTTTGTAGTTGGTGGGTTTTACACTTGGCCAAAGAGATCTACAGCTTGTCTTTCCCACATTGTTTGAGAATCACATCAGAAATGTGTCTGAGCAGCAAAGTTCACTCCCCCCATGCATTAGGGCTGGGGAATTGGTGTGCTGTGTACGAGAAAGAGTAACCAGAGACAAAGATTGTGTCAGGACTCTTAGATGGGCAGAGGGAGCTGGATCTAGGCATTCCCTTCAGCCCTGTTCTCTAGAGCTGTCTGTCTGTCTGTCTGTGCAGCAGTGTCACTGATGCCAATGCAGTGATCCCTCTGTCTGCCTGGCCAGCCACCCTGGTCTCCCATCTGGGGATGATGCAATTTCCTTTGCTTCTTTTTTGGGAGATTAAAGGAGCTGCTTCTTCTCCCTTTTCCTTGCAGATAATTTATTGGTTCTGGATTTAATAACTTTTTGTATTTGAAGGTTTCCTGCAGATGGATTAGGAGGCAACACAAGCAGTGCAATGACAACACTGTCAAAACAAGCATCTACAGTGTAGGCTGCCTGTTCCCTGATCCTCCTATTGCATACCTTGAGATTCATACACATACTGTGTGTCGCTTCAAAGGCAACTTTGGCTATTGGACATTGTTTACTATAGGAAAATTAAAAGTGAGGTTGTCTTATATGTCTTTCTAGTAGCTGTTGGTAAGTTCAGTGTTGATTTTACCTGCCTGAAAGGAGGTTGTAGACAGGTGAGAGTCAGTGTCTTCTCCCAGGTAACAAGGAAATGGCTTCAGGTTACACCAGATAAGGTTTAGATTGAATATTGGGGAAAGTCTCATCACTAAAAGTGTGGTCAGGCATCGGAACAGACTGCCTAGGGAAGTGATGGAATCACTCCCTGGAAGTGTTCAAAAATGCATACATGTGTCACTTAGGGACTGATTTAGTGGTGGGCTTGGTAGTGCTGGGTTAATGGTCGGACTCGGTCTTACAAGTCTTTTCCAACCGAAACAATTCTATGATTAATAACTGCTTCAAAAATTTCAGAATCCTCCTCCTCTTGGTGTTTGGCTCATTGGTGATAAATATTCTTTTGAAACAGTCAGACATCACTCGTTATCACCAAGTTTTGTATCTAGGGGAGCCTCCTACCCAGAAGCTTTTGTTGCCTCTCTTGTGAGCAGCAAATGGCACCTGCCATAGCGAGTTAGGAGAGTTATGTAGGGATTTGCATTAATAAGACATTGAGCTGGAGATTTGGCTGGCTATTAGCTCCTGCCCACCTGCTGTAGGGGCCAGATGTAAATCCATGAGCTCCTGCAGGGTTATGCTATCCTAGCACATCCTGTGCCAGCCCTGGGAGCTGCCCCTGCAGCTGTGAGTGGAGCTCTGCTGAGCTGCCTGGGAGCAGGTTGCCTCCCCTGAAGCTGTTCTGTCACCTCAGCCTGGCACTCCACGGGTCAGCTCTGCTTGTGGGACTGAAAGGCACTGCTTGTTCTTCAGCCTGAGGGGTGAAGTTGTGCCCTTTTGGGCTCTCTGGGGACCAGTTTCAGTCCAGACACCTTGGGGGACTTGCCACATGATGTGACTGTTCTTTCAGGACACAGATGACTACAGCTATTTATTTATTTTGTTGTAAAGCACAGGAGGAGCATGAGGGAATGCAGATGTCTGTCAGCTTTGCAGCAAGTTGCAGAGACCCCTTTGTGGCAAGTTTGGATTGCTTATGTATTTCCAGTTGTCCCATTTTCTTTGATGTAGAACACTCCCCTGAGTTTGAAATTCTTCCCTTTAGGTTTCTGAGGTCTGATTCTTTCTGCAACAGTTCTTATGAATTTTTTTTTTTCTATGCAAAAATCTGCATGAGAATGCTCAATATATGAAGGGCTTGCAAAGGTCTTTTCTTTGAATGCATGGACACTGTCCCCTGTGGTAGAGCAAGGATTGATATGCAGGGTTTAGCTCAAAATAAGCCTCCATTTGGGGTGGGAAGGCCCTTGGACCATACCACAGAGGATTTTAGGAGTTCCCTCTGGTAGAAAGGTGGATCCATCTCTAGTGGCTGTTCACAACCCTGCAATGAGCACATCCTTTGTAATGACACCTTTTTCTTCCTCCTCAAATACAGGGGTTGCTTT